TCGTATCTTGTCGCCCGAGAGCGGATATCCAGCCTTTGTATGCCAGTTTAATCCTGTGTTTTCCCAAATAATTAAGCCTTTTTTTTGCTTATGAACTTGTGACTAAGTAAAGCACCCCTGAGAGGGTGTAACATCAAAGCCCATTCCAACTGGCTGTCCCACGTCTCCTAAAATTGGATTTCTTTCTCCTTCTTTTTGCTTCGTGTTTAAACGAAAACTAATTGAATTTAGTTGTGGACTGAAGGCATTGAAGGGCTGGCTGCCTTGAAATGTTACAAGAAGACACAAGGGCCGCCCTGGGAACTCTTGGGAGACGAGGCCAGGCCACAGGGAGCGCTTCTGGCCTCCGAGACTCCAGGCAGGGCACAAAACACAAAGGGAACCTGCTCAGCAGGACCGTTCTGGCACGGAAGCCCAGCATGGGGGGGGGGAGCCATTCCCAACCCAAAGAGGAGCTACCTGAGTGGAGACGGATCAAGCACTAAGTCCCACTCCACCAAACACCTGGCTTCCCCCACTTCCCAGGGAAGGATGTCCACTGGAAGGAAAGACAGCCCACAGGCTAAAGAAGGGCGGGAGCTCAGGGGAAGAGCACCTGCTCTGCTTGCGCAAAGCCCCAGAGTCCGTCCCTGTTCGGGTCTCCAGGAAGAAAAAGCCCCCACCTGCAACAGCCAGCTAATGCTCCCAATGCTGGCGCCGACGGATCAAGTAGCAGGAAGCTTTCTCTACCCACGCCTGGTTTCCAAAGCCATGCAGAGAACTTAATCATAGTTCCGGTTGTGGAAACCACTAGGCATGCGACTTTTGTATTTTATTTTATATTTTTTGGGGGGGGCGGCAACTCCCAGAATTTGCCAGGTATTCCCTCTATCAAAATTCTGGAAGATGCAAGCCAACCATTAAAGCCCACAGAGTTTGTTTGTTTGCTGTGCCCCTCAATTTTGGAGGACGTCAGGTTTGGGAGGATACATCCTATTTAACTGTTTGTAAATCAAAACAGGCTTGCTGCCCAAAATATGGCACAGCTCTCATCGATACTCTCCTGGCATCATCTGCAGCTATATTATACTTAACCCTCCTTGTCTATACTCATGTAGTGGCTGTCCAATGGTCATTGCTATTACGTTGGGGTGGGCAACCCGTGGCTGAATCCAAGGCTAGATTCCAGTTCGGTCAGCAACCTGGAGACTGCACCCCCACTCCCAAGAAACAACCCCCCCAAAAAAGCTGTCCAGCAGACCTATGGAAAAGCAGCATAGTCCTGCTTCCCTACCTCAATGGGCGGTCAGTTGCTAACCCTCCCAGAGATGGTCTCCTCACTCATTCTCCTAACCTTGCTACACAACCCAGGTACTTGCATCAGCGCAGGCAAATATCATCCTCTTCCTCTGCCTCAAGAACATCACCTTAATCAGAGCCAGGTTGATATTCTACTGAACCTTTGCGGTTCTTCCAGTGCATTTAAAACAGTTCCAACGCGTTCCCCCACACCCAAGCCAAGTTGGTTCTCTTCTCTTCTCTTTCTTCATCTTATCTTGTTAATTTGGCCTCTTTAGCTGCCACTCCCAGAGCGTGAAGCCCAAAGGAACTCTGCATGCTGCTAGCAGACCAACCTTCACTTGGCTTGCCATCATGACAAAGTGGCTCTCTGCCTTCCCCTGGGTTTGTCTCCATCTTTTGCAAGCCATCATTCTTCCCCAGATTTCCTCCTCTCCCAACACAGGCTTGGAAGGATTCCGTGCACACCCTACCTTGGTAACAAGCATTGACTTTTCTTCAGCATTATCATCTTGAGACCAGATTTTTGAAGGATGCTTCCTTCGGCAGAATAGTTTCCCCTGCCATTCCCCACAGGTGCCAGCTAGCCTCCCTTCATGAGTCTTTGCTGGTCATCTCAATAGTCACTATCCGTACAAAGGATGCAGAGAAACCAAAACAATGAAAGAACAAGTTGCATTCCTCTAGGGCTGCTTCTTTGAGTGATGACCTGCCCTTCATCCCCTCTCTTTGGCAACTGCGGTTTGACTGCTGCCTTGCTGCTTCGTCATCCGAGTTCTGAACAGAGGGACGGTCCTTCCATGCCTACTACCAAAACCTCAGAAGGTTCTGAAGCATTTCTCTGCAAGGTGGAAGCCCACAGATATTAAAGCACTGATGACGTCTTGAAGAAAGCACACCAAAGGGAAGTAACCTGGAATATACTTTCAGTTTTTTTGGAGGGTCCCCAAATTTTGGCAGTGTGTGTGTACAGGGTTTGGAATTGAATACCCTCTTCACTTAATTTGTGAGCTCAACTAGGGTCCCTCCATTTACAACAACACAGAACCTTGTGGCACATTAACATGTTAATGGGGACCTTTGGCTTCCATTGGCAAGAACTGTTGTTGTTTAGTTGTTGTCTGACTCGTCGTGACCCCATGGACCAGAGCACGCCAGGCCCTCATGTCTTCCACTGCCTCCCGGAGTTGGGCCAGATTCATGTTGGTTGCTTCGGTGACCTTGTCCAGCCATCTCGTGCTGTGTCGTCCCCTTCTCCTCTTGCCTTCACTCTTTCCCAACATCAGGGTCTTTTCCAGGGAGTCTTCTCTTCTCACGAGATGGCCAAAAAGGACTGGAGCCTCAGCTTCAGGATCTGTTTATTTCCTTCAGGGTTGATTTCCTTCAGAATGGATACCACTAAGGGTTGATTTCCTTCAGAACGGTTAAGTTTGATCTCCTTGCAGTCGAGGGGATTCTCAAGAGTCTCCTCCAGCACCACAATTCAAAAGCATCAATTCTTCGGGGGTCAGCCTTCTTGATGGTCCAGCTCTCACTTCCATACATTGCTACTGGAAAAACTATAGCTTTGACTATATGGACCTTTGTCGGTAAGGTGATGCCTCTACTTTTTAAGATGCTGTCTAGGTTTGTCATTGCTTTCCTCCCAAGAGTACTCTTGGCAAGAGTCCTCTTCATCAACTGTGCGTCAGAATGAGACGTCTATTCTTCCTCCATAGTTCTCCATTGCCATCATCTTCTCTCCCTCCACTTCTGTTCAGTATCGTCAACTGTCAGGTCCTCAGGACAGGACCATCTGTTTCCTTATTCAGAAAAGCTCAGTGCACACTCGTAGCACTGGATTATTAATAGTTAATAATGGTTCCCGCTTATCGGTTACATATTTTTATCTTGCTATCCAGGAAAAGGTACGTGGTGGCGCTGCAGGTTCAACTGCAGAAGCCTCTCTGCTGCAGAGTCAGAAGACCAGCCGTTGTAAGGTCTAATCCATGCAATGGAGGGCGCTCCCGTCGCTTGTCCCAGCTCCTGCCAACCTAGCCATTCGAAAGCATGCAAAAATGCGAGTTGATAAATAGGTAGCACCTTGGTGGGAAGGTCACGGCATTGCGTGTCTAGTCATGCTGGCCATGTGACCACAGAAACTGTCTTTGGACAAATACTGGCTCTACGGCTTGGAAACGTGGATGAGCACCACGCCCTAGAGTCGGCCACAATTGGACTAAATGTTAAGGGGAACCTTTACCTTTACCTTCCAGGAAAAAATGAGCATTCAAGGCAGCTCACAAACATTTGTTTAAAAAACCAAAACAAGCAAAGAGAAAACAAAGAAAATAAAGAAAAACAAAATCCTAAATGATCAACTCGGTGCTGATCAGTTAACATCAAAACAGTTTAAGGTGCCCGTTTTAAGAGCTGGGTTTTTGTAGCCTTCCCAAAAGCAGGACAAATAGGGAACGGATGCTCGCGCCGAGAGGAGGACAGACCACAGCTGGAGCAGAGCCTCTGAGGCAGGACTCTGCAGGTGCTGCTGTGCTTAAAGGGGCCTGTCTTGAAGACCTTAATATCTAGTCCATGGTAATGGATTTACAGTGTTTCATGAAGTATTACGAAGTGGGACTGTGCAGAAACTTTGCAGTTTTGTTGGCTTTCAGGGAGCAGCCAGGCCCTGTTTTTTAAAACCAGAAGCCATTTCTCCCAGGCTGGCCTCGTCTTCTCAAACACCCGCTTTTCTTTGGGTGAGAGGACCAAAGGCGGCTCACAATGTTAAAACCACCAATACCGAAAGTGCAATAAATGAGAGATTATACGGTAAAAGGTTTCCCTTGACATTTAGTCCAGTCGTGTCCGTCTCTAGGGCACAGTGTTCATCCCCGTCTCCAAGCCATACAGTCAGTGTTTGTCCGAAGACAGTTTCCGTGGTCACGTGGCCAGCGCAACTAGATACAAAACGCCGTGACCTTCCCACCGAGGTGGTACCTATTTATCGACTCACATTTTTACATGCTTTCAAACTGCTAGGTTGGTAGGAGAAATTACAGATTAAAGAGCAATAAGAAGGTGCAACAATAATTAAAAGCCCATGAATTATTCTAAAAGCATTTAAAATTTAAAAAACAGACTTCGAGGATACAAGTACAACTACCAGCATCCAGGGACTGCATCAGTTCTTAAAAGACTACCCGAAGAGTTGGGTCTTTGACTGTCAGTGGAAGGATAAAAGGTAGGGGGCCAGGTTGATTACCCGAGGGAGAGCATTGCCACAACCTGGGAGCAGCCACAGAGAAGGCCCTCTCTCTCCTGTCCCCATGGACCATGCCTGCGTTTGTGACGGGAAAGAGAGGAAGGCCCCTTCTCAAGATCTTAGAGACCGGGAAGGTTCATACGGGGACACAGGCTAAAGTGTGGCATTCATTTCCTAAGCTCACTTTGGTGTTTTTTCATTTTCTTTTGTTTTTCTCATTTGGCCAATCTGTGTGCCAAATAACATTTCGCCCCTGCTTTTGATGGAACCCCAAAATATTTTATCCAAGCAGACTCACAAAGGGTGGATCTCTTTGGCTGGTGCAGGTTCTGGCCATCGTGCTGCTATTCAGTTGCTTTAACCACTGCACTCACTATTTGGAGTTATGGCTTAATATTTCAAATAGTAAACTGGCTTGAAAGCACTGACAGAAGCTTGCCACTGATCTGTAGGCCTACGTGTGTTAAAACTCCACACTTACGTGGCATTTCGGTTTATAGCTGCTACCATTAGAGCCGTCCAGCCGAGCTTGTGCCGAGCGTTTACACTGGCTCCTTCCTGCAACAACCTGGAGCGAAGAAAGAGAAAGAAAGACACCGCGCCTATTAGCAAGACAGCCAATGTGCCAGTTTGCGTTGACTCACAAACCAGGTTTTGGCACTCTGTGGCTAAGCCTCAACAGGCCAACTGGGCTCACTCATCTAGCCCTGCATCCCAGACCCACAAGGCTACCAGAGGCTACTCATCCGTAACAGTTCCATGCCACACCCAGGATCAGAGGACAGACGGGGTGCTGCTGCGCTTCCTTCCGCCTTGGTTGTGGCTTCCCTGGGCTATGGGATTGGCCGCCATGGGAAGAGAAGGCCGGACTAGAAAGACCTCTTGCTCCTCCTCCACTCTGCCTGCTGCTACCAGGATGTGTGAAATAGGGACAGTTGGACACAACTGCATATGCCCTATGCACACACCCCTCTCGCCTGCGCATAGAGGATATGCACCGCCCCTGGCCTGTATCGGATGACGGAATCAAACAGCTTGCTCTATATAACTCCGGTCATACATAAAGGTGGGGATCTACCTAACAAGGGCTCGTTTCTACTTCACACACTGTGCATTTAGGAGCTCCAAACATTTGGCAAACATTGCTAATTCCTGTGAAGTTAGTTAGCTAGTATGTCCCTTACGTTACCAGCCCTGGCATAAATTCACAGTCAGAGTGGGACTCAAACTTCTGAGACTTCTGAGTTTGCAGCTGATTCACTTTAGCAGCTTCCATTTTAATCACGGCAATGTAATGAAACGGTTGAGACTATGAAACTCAAAGAGATATTGCCCCTGCTTCAAAAACATAGTTATTAACTGTTCCTAACGGTCAGAGCAGTACGACAATGGGACCAGTGACCTGGGGAGGTGCTGAGTGCTCCAACCCTGGAGGCATTCAAGAAAAACGTGGATCATCTGGCAGACCTGATTTGATTCAGATTCCTGCCCTGAGCAGGGGGTTGGACTGAGATGCACTTTGATTTGGATTCCTGCCTCGAGCAGGGGGTTGGACTTCATGGCGTTGTAGCTTCACTATTCTATGATTTCTATGATACTACTAGGTGTACACTTCCTATTTCCACCCCCTCTCCCGTTGGCGTTGTAGCTTCACTATTCTATGATTTCTATGATTCCACTGGGTGTACAGGACAACACTTCCTATTTCCACCCCCTCTCCCGTTACCACTGCCCATGGTGGCATTTTAGATGTTACACTCCTTGGGTGCAAAGGGGCCACATAAACAAATAAGTACAAGCACAACAGAAACCATTTTATGATATCTTCCTGCATAAATCATGCAAATATATAACTGTATAGCACACTGTTTCCCAAGGTCAGGTTCCACTGTCAAAAATCCTTTTACATTTTTATGCTGTGTAATGTAATCCACGTAAATCTTGGTGACAAATTGCTCCGGTTAAGAAGTTAACGCAGGTACTTGCTGTTGCTGCCAAGTCACAAAATTCAATGCTCAGCAGCAAATGCCTACACTGCCTACTTAATTTATGGCCACTGGCTAGCAAAACCTTATATAAAGGTAGGTAGGTAGGTAGGTAGGTAGGTAGGTAGGTAGGTAGGTAGGTAGGTAGGTAGGTAGGTAGGTAGGTAGGTAGGTAGGTAGGTAGGTAGGTAGGTAGGTAGGTAGGTAGGTAGGTGGCAAAGACATTTCTTTTTAAACAGCCTTTTTAATAATGTTGTGCATTGAAGCTGGACTCTTTTGTGATCTGGGGTATAGAACTGTTAAATGTATTTTAAAGATCTAATGTTTCTAGGTGTTTATTTTTAGCTTTTGCTTTGTTTACAAGGAGCTGATGATGGATAAAAAAAGGAAGGGAGGGAGGGAGGGAGGATGCACAAGGAGGAGGGCCTCATGCATAACTCTGGAATTGGACAGCTTTAGGGGAAAAGACCATCACTCCTCCCTAATCCCACTGAAGAAAGAGGACATGAAAGAAAATTTAACATTGCTGTTAGTCGTTTCCTTTCTGTCTGCAAGCCTCAGATCCAAGGCTCTTCCATTCTCAACCCATGGAAGCCCTTAGATGTGCAGGTCTCTGAGAGAGAGAGAGGTGCACGGAGGAGGGAGAGACATGCTACTCAGCCGCATATTCTAGCTTCTGAGTGATGGCCCTGAGGCCCTCCTGTTTGTAAAGGGCCAAGAGAACTGTTCATGGCTGCCTGTCAGCCCAGCGGATCTCTGCACGTCTGTCCTCGGATACAAATCACTACAAGAGCGAAAGGTATTTTTCTTTGCCTGAAAAGAAGAAAAGGAATACGGCCTGGGAGGCTAACCAGAGAGCTGAACTGGCCCTGCTGGATGGTCAGCTCAGGTATCCCCTGGGCAGATGGGGCTGTTTATAGTGATAACAAGGATGCACTTTGTGGACGGATGTCTCCAGAGCGCCTGCAAGCCTGAGTCAACACAGCCACTCCATCTGGAAGCCCTCGGCGGAAACTTGATTGATTAGCATCACAGCACAAACCATCAGAACAATCTTACTCGGGCTTACCATTCCCAGGTAACTTCCTACTCAGTTCTATGATGGCTAATTTCAAAGAAGCACGGCTTAAAACTGCATGGTCAGTTCAGGAGACTGCGCCCTCACACCTTCCAATCTGCCCTCTTGGTGGCTTACTGACCACAGAAGTCTCCTTCTAGGTCAGCAGCACGCCTTGTGCTTTGCAATCCAAAGGTTCTGGGTTCAATTCCCGACATACCCACGGCAGGACCAGCAAAGCCTCTTGGGTGAGAACCCCTAAATTCAGAGGCTGTGGAGTCAAGACGGGCCAGTCTTTTCTTATTCCAGCACCGTGGGCTGTTATTCATAAAAGCAGACGGTCTAAAAAAGCCTGGGCAATCAGCGCCCAGGGTCAGGGCAGGTCAACGTCCGTCCAAAAGTAGGATCGAGGCAATCTGAGTTTAAGGGCAAAAGATGCCAAACAGAGGACAAGTCAGTCAGGGGAGAGCGATCCAAAAGCAGAGGCCCCGGCTGTCCAAGGCCAACTGTGCCTTGCAGAGCAGGAGCCACAAAAGCCAGGTCGGGTTGGAGTCGGCAGTAGCAGGAGATGCTGTTTGCAGCAGCCTTCCTTGCCAAGAACGGAGGCCCAGGATCTTGGGGCTGGCCTTGCCTCCTCCTCAGAAGGGAATCCATCATCCTCTGTCTTAGTACCCCAGGGCCTTCAGGAGCGGCCTGCTCCCTGGCCTTTCTCTGGTCCAGGAACCTCTCGACAGATTCCCCTGGCAGGGACGTGACGCGTTAGCCACACTGGGAAACCTTTTCAGGTATCTCTAATAAAAGAGATCTCTTGAGCAGCGTGCACTCAGCTTCCTGGGTGGTGGGGATATAAAAAAGCATGCTGCCTTATCTGGGATTCCCTATCATATGCCACTTTAAAGCAAAAGCTGTACCGACAAGGTATAAACCTCATAGGTACCTACTGTAGTATCAGATTTTTGTCTCCGCCAATACAGTTCATACTCTTATGATGCCTTATAGAAACCATATGTTGGTACAGTGGTGCCTTGCATAACGAGCGCACCGTTTAACGACGAATCCGAATAGCGATCTATTTTTTTAGATCGCTAATGCGATCGCATTGCGATGTTTTAATGGGTAAAACATCGCATTGCGATGATCGGTAAGCGTTTTGCCTACCGATTTTCGCATTGCGATGTTTTTTGAACAGCTGATCGGCGGTTCCAAAATGGCTGGCGGGTGCCCAAAATGGCCGGCACAAGTGTTTTCGCACCCTGCCCTCGCTTACCGAGAGCGTGAAAATGGCGGCGCTATGGAGGAACTTCGATGAACGGTGAGTTTGGGCCCCACAGGAACGCATTAAACTTTGTTTAATGCGTTCCTATGGCTTTTTCCGTTCTGTTTAGCAATGTTTCCTCATAGCGGCAATTAATCCGGAACGGACTAACGTTGCTATGCGGGGCACCACTGTATTTTTATATTTGCAAGCATGCATATGCACATGCACACCCAAATACACAGTAGAATCTCAGGAATATCATTTACACTGTATGGGTTTTCATTCATACACGGAGACGGCAAAGATCCTTATATGCCTATAAACTTTTACCATGGCTTAGTGAAGACAGCAGCATCTCGGTTTAATTTTGTTTTAAACATTTACAACGTTTTCAAGACTTATGCACATATTCACATGGAAGAAGCCTCCTGCTTTTTGTCCAAAAAAAACACAACACATACACATGTTTTATTAGTTCCTGTTAAAAACACAATATAGACAAAATGAGAACTAATAATTACATTATAAACACATAAATTAGATGTGGACCAAACAAAATGTAAACACAAGCGACTTCTTTTCTTCTTAGAAACAGGATTGTTCAATGCATCAGTGAGACAGACTATCCTGTGTAATATTCTGGTATTTTCTTCTACTTTAAATTTACAAAGGTACACTTTTTTCCCCATCCTCCACCTTCATAAAAAAGCAAGTTCTCCGTTTTGTCATTTGAAACCTGTAAGAGTCCATATCTAGGAATTATTTCTTCTGCACTCAAGGTCGGGGGGGTGTGTGTTTGGAGGTGGTGTTGATGCTACTCATACTGTCCCTTCAAACTACCACTCACCTCTCGGAGGTTCACATTTCCACAAGAAGTAAAGGAAACTTCTGTAAGCACCCTTTCTCAGAGGCTCCCCTCCTGCCCACAACTCCCATTTTGTTTGCTCTGCCCCAAAGCCCACCCCAGAGAGACAACCGGCCTCCTATCCCTGCTCAGGCCCCCCCATTTTGGCAGATGCTTTTCTTTGTCTTACACTTACAGGTCGCCTTTCTCCTGACAAGGGAACTCAGTCCCATCCCAACTTCGCCATCAGACTTTCTAAGTACTCTGAAAGCTCCTGACCAGTTTTGAAAAGCTATAATGGCAAGCAAGGAATGCGAAAGAATTCGTTTTTTGTGGAAGTTGCCTAATCCAGAAACAGACAATTTTAGAAACACATCGCGAATTGTTATGTATTACCGCTTTGATTGGATTTTTAGTAAAAAAA